CTGGTATAGACAGTCTTGCCCGCTACGTCTTTTAACGCAAGCGGAAAACTTCTTGGGATTAGCTGCGTCCGAGTCCGCTAAACCCTGCTCGTACTGGAGAGGAACAGTCCTGAGATGTTGCTTACATTTATTTCTAATCTCTCGATAACTATCATAGGTACTGGCTGATGAAGCTGCTTGGTAGCTTCGCCAGCATCTAGACGGTTTCTTGAGTAGGTACTTGCCTGTGGTATCTATCCATGAAGACTGTGCCCTTAACCCTCTTTTCCTCATGAGTGGAATATACGGAGTGGAAACCTCCTTAAGGTATAGCTTAAATTTATCCCAGGCTAACGGGACAGAGTCAGCCATCGATATCACAGTTCAGAACTGAAGCCTTAGCTTGCAGTGCACTAAAGTCCGCCCGCCAAATATTCGGAAGTAATTCAACAGCGGTCTGCTGGTGCCTTGAAAGAGCACACCGAAAGGATATGCATGCGAGATCGCTGAACCCTAGAGGTGCACCGTACGAAATGTCAGTCACGAAGTCGATGGACTTAGCGAAAACCAGATCTAAAGTAGATGGTATTTGGTTGTCCATATACCTAGTGGGGAAGTCCACGAACTGGTGCAAAGGCACTTGGAGAGTCAGTTCAGGAAAGTCTGCACCGAATGTTCCTAATGCCGAATTGCGAGAAAGATCGGCCCAACAGACTTCCGGGAGGTTGAAATCCCCTAGAACTAAACACTTATTCGCAGACTGAGTGCGAATAAAGTCGTATCCTCCTGGAAGAACTTCCAGGACTTCTGTATATCACTATAACTGTAAACTGGGTAGAGGAAGTGCACAAAACAGCCGATAGGACTTCAACAGTCTGATCCGACGACTGGAATGTGCAGGTCCTCAATACATCTAAGTTACAGCTGACATACAGTACAACGCCTCCGACTTGGCGATCTATGGAGCGATCAGTTCTAAGCAGCGCGTAGCCAGGTAAACATACCTCACCGTCCGTGATATCCGGAGACAACCACGTTTCAGTGAAAGCAAGTATGTCGGGACGAGATTTGTCTACAAGTAGACTTAACTCGTGTACCTTGTTCCTTAGGCTACACACGTTGCTAAGTACTACCTCAAGGAAGTCGGCACGACCATCCCTGGGTCGTGCGCCATCAGGATGGGTTCTGATAGGGCGGAAAATAACTTCCGGCTGACCACCTGCATCGTCAGGAGATGTGCCTTCCGAAGTCTACAGGAGAGCTCCAGGTAAGAAGTATGTAAAAGAGATATTGTTTGGCAAATTTAACCCAATTGTTCAGGTTTAAAGAAAATTTTTTCCTTGCGATATAACGAATCATTTGCCCGGCCGATAAGTTGTAAAAGCGGCGGATTATCTTCCACTCGTTGCCTCGTATTGTAGTAATGTCGCAGCTATAGACGATTCCTTGGGTGCTCGACGCCGTATCTGTGACAATCTCGGGAAAAAGGCAACGAACAAAGACAGCCACATAGACAAACGGAAGACATGCATCCGGAACGCAGTCGATCAATTTCAACAGTGACTGAACTATTGTACCCCTATATCATGTAATTGTTGTTTAAATATCTCTGGTACACATGTATCAGAAGTGAGGTCATACAACGAGAAGCGATCAGATCACGGAGCAGTAGAGAATGAAAAACTTCCAAATTAGGAATGAAGATGGGACAAAGAGAGTTTGAGGGGTCCTAAAGCGCATATGCCCAATCTGTGGGACACCAGAGGAGGACGAGATGTGCGGATTATAGAAAAATATATCGCTCAGAGGAAGCTACAGGGACGCTTTGACTCAGTCCTAAATTGGTAGGAATATAAGCAATCAGGGAGGACAAACACTTGAAACTTAACATCAAATAATAAAGAAATGTAACAGAAAACACGGGAAGGAGAGAAAGGCGTCGGTAAAGTGGGTTCTACTGAGAAGAAGTGGAAAAGCCAATGACATTCTTAAGGTCATGATTCATCCTTGTTACTAAAAAGAAAGATGAATAATGCCCAGCAATGTAATTGAGGTAATGGGGCAGAGCATTGCGCCGCAATAGGTAAATAGCATGAAGTGCAAAGCACTAAGAATGAGGGGCACAAAGTGTTCGGGTTACAGAGCTTAAATCGTTTACGTCTCGTCGCCACGACATTCGTCTCTCCATCAAAGGGCGGGTCTATTGTGCAACTGTACGTGCTGTACTGTTGTACGGATGCGAGACCTGGCCCATTCGCATAGATGACTTGCGCAGGCTATCCGTCTTCGAGCACCGCTGTCTGCGGTCCATTGCCCGTGTGTGGTGGCAACACCACGTAAGCAATGTGGAAGTTAGACAGCGTGTCTTGGGACGTGGAAGCCACTCGCTCGAGGAGCTCATCTCACTGCATCAACTGCAGTGGTTGGGACACGTATTGCGCATGCCTGTCCAGCGTTACCCCCGTCGTGCGTTGTTTGCACTTGCTGGACAGGGCTGTAAGAGACGGTCTGGTGGACAGCCTACAACATGGAGAAGCCGCATGAAAAAGTTGACGAAACAGCTGGCCTCGGCCGGTTGTTGTCGACTACCTGGTTTGGGTCCGAGAGATGCGGATACTTGCTGGTTGAAGACCTTGAAAGTTATGGCTCAAGATCTATGTCAATGGCGGACATGTGCATCGGTTTGTTGCGGTGTTCCTTCTTCCTCCCTCTAAAAAAAAGAACAAACTGGAAAAATTTCAAAAACTGAGTGGTTAAATAGACAAAAAAGTATTTGTTGTTGCTCTTTTCTTATTATCCATATTATTTTCCTATTCAGCCATGATTCCGATGGCACAATATCTGTACCACAGATTGTGTATTATATATATATATACATATATATATATATATATATATATATATATATATATATATATATAGGTCTGGAAGTGATCAGAAAGCAAAAGAATGGTCAGACGAGGCCAGCTAAGAAGTCTGAGAGAGGTCAGAAAGCAGACTGATCTAACAGAACCGGATAAGTCAGCAAGCTGAAGCTAGGCCGCCAAATTAAGGTGGGAATAACAGTAATGAGTGTCATCAGAAAGGAAGCAGTACGTGAGGAAAGTGGCTATATGAAAAGGCAGTTAGCATGCCAAGCGAAGCTTTCAGGCTGAGGGACAGAGTGTGTTGCCACAGCGGAGCCTAGATCGTTTGCGTCTTGGATGTCTGGAACTGACCAGAAAGCTGGAGATTGGTCAGACGAGGCTAGATTAGAGCCAGACCCGAAGAGTTATCCGTACGATTGAAAAAGGAAAGCAAACAGAGTGCGAAAAGAAAAGAATGGAGTCGGGAAGGAAAACACTATTAAGGAATAGTGCAAAAGCCTATAAAATCTCCAGGTGTGAACAGACCGTTACCGCGGTAACAGTCGTGCCTGAGTAACGTGCTGCTTGCCAGGGATAGCTAGACGACTAGTGCCGGCTCTGGCCTAGAAACGCGTTATCTTCTTGCATTTCCCTAAAGAAAGCCTTCGACGAAGTCGATCACAATATCTTAGTACACAAATTGTTGTCTTACGGCATATCAGGAGCCTTGGTGGACTGAATCCGGAACTACCTCCAAAGCCGTACCGTCCAAGTACGCGTCTGCGGAACGTTGTCCCCCCCCCCGCATCTTTTCCACAAGTGGTGTTCTACAGGGTTTGTTCTCGGACCTGACCTTTTTCTAGCCTTCATTATTGACGTCATAATGCACGTGGAGTCTTTGTTGCTGCTATGTGCGGATGACGAGAAGCTGTGGTGCACTGTTAACGCCCCAGTCGATGCCCGCGCACTTCAAATGGACCTTAACTGTCTACACCAGTAGTTTCTGGAAAACAACCTTCCATTTAACGCTTCGAGATGTCGCGTCCTCTCTACCCGCCTTTACGCTTCTCCTATATAATTCCTGGAAGCGTCTATTCTTCAGGTCTATCAGCCGAACGAGACTTGAGTATAATTACTCAGACGAATCTCTCAGTATCCATTTCCTGCCGGAAAGCAGCTTTTGCTGCTAACCGCATGGTGAGATTATTGGAACGAGCCTTCGGTCACCTTGATCCTAGCAATTTCCGCCTCCTCCTCAACGCTTTTTTCTACCCCACTTGGAGTTTGCTATTCAGCCTTTGAGCCCATGGTTGCTGAAGAGCCAACACATACTTAATGCCCCCACAACGTCTAACTACAAAACTTGTAAGTGGTCTCGAGTACCTAGATTATTTACAAAGGCTTCACTGCTTATCTCTACTCGCTAGAACACTGATGTCTCCGGGGCGACTTGATCCTTGTATTTGCGATCTTATCGAACCCTCGACATGCCTGCCGCCACCTAGTCACACTGCACCAATCGTGATCCCACCTACGGGGCCTCCCACTGAGACTCACACATCATCACAGTCGGCTGAACTGCAGGTGACACTTCGCTTTGCAAATTTGCTGACCGTGGAATGCTCTGCTTGCCGACCTTATCTCGGCACCTACTGTGGCTGATTTTAAGACCCGCCTGGGCTATCATCTTGCCGAGTTACACCGTGATCTTCCCTGACACAACTACCTACTCCAAATACAGGACATGCCTTTGGGCACCCAAACCATGCGCGCTACGTTTTCGCACCACCTGTTCATGTTGTCCACGGAGCAGCAAAATGGTTCGTCTAGGTGTTTCATAGAAGGTGCGGGATGCGGTTGGCATGCCAGGTATACATACGCCCATAGCCACCCTTTCCCAAGCTCATAATTAACGACATGACTGGGTCGACTGTCAGATCGACCTCTCCACTTCATGTTTTAGGACGTCACAGTTGTCGATAGCATCACTGCTGATCCCTCGCCAAACTCGCTCACTCTCCTTAGCCTTACGAAACTTTGCATCTAGTTGCATCAATCTCTCCCAGTAATTCGCACGCTACGCGATTCTTTATAAGCGATTGTTTTGCTTTCTGTAGGCCTCACGGCGGTACATTCATGGAGCGACAGTGTCAGCTCTCAAAAAGAGTACTTTACCTCATCAAAGTAGTATCCGAATGACCAGTTTTACCTATCCATTCGCATAGGTCCTGTGTCGCTCGATTCTCCAGTCTTGCATTTTGTTTTTCCATATTGACTCCTTCCTCGTATTTGTATCCAGCATACTAGCAACCATTTCCTAAACAGCATACTGCTGTGATCAAAAAGAATGCGAACCTTTAAAACAGCCAACCAGCCAGCAGTGACAGCGCTCTGTGGCTACTGCTCGCATGTAGGGGCATGTTTAGCCAACAAACTGCTGTTTGTCGTGTTTCGGTCTGACTGTTATTTGGCGAGCTACAGCCACAAAAATGAGCCCTTGCACAAGCTGCTCGTCGCATTAATATCAAGGTAACTATGAAAGATCTTGAAGAACATTGTGTGTATGGATTTTTGCCACAAACTTGTTAAAACATTTACAGACATTTCAGTTGATCAACCAATCGTAGGAGGAGGACTATATGAACCCCACACAGTGAATTGAGTAGTTTAAACCTTTTAAACTGCGATAAAATGTCAGTCAGTGAGGACCCGAGGCTTGGACGACATTCCACATCAACAAACGATGACCATGCCGAGAGGGTTTGTCTGTGACCCGTAGAAATCGTCGTCCAACTGTTCGAAAGTTGCTGACGAATTGGGTGTCGGATAGGATCATGCCATCGACTTTTGGGTGACAAACCTGAGGTGCGTCGTGTTAGTGCAGATTTGGTTGCTGCATCTTGATAATGGGCCGGCCCGCGCATTACTCATTATCCACAACTATCCTACGGTTCCATCCATCGCATTATCTGGACCTAGCCCCTGCTGAATTTTTCCTGTTTCCTTTCCTTAAAATTACGCTGAAACGTCGTTTCCAAAACATAGAGGAAATTAACAACAATACGACAAAAGACCTGTCCGCCGTCTCAGAATATGCGTTCCAGGCAACTTTCTAAAATTGGAAGCACCGTTGAGAAAGGCACACCACAAGTAGAGGAGACTACTTTGAGGGGGGTCATGTTTGAAATGTTGTACAGTGAGAAATAAAGATGTTATAGCAAAAGTTCGCTTTCTTTTTGAACACGGTAGTACTACAGTAGTTTTCTTGTTTGTATCTGTTTCCGGAGTCACCGTGTAATTAGTGAACACTTGTTAACGACTCATCGTCGAAAGAGGATACCTTGGTGACCGTCATATATCTCACAGAGATTGCCTTAGCTTTTACCTTTTCTGTTTGCAGAGCACCAATAGCTATTGTGTACTTACTGGGCAACAAAACGGGGCTTTCGTTAGTTGAAAGCCTGTATCGTCCCTGGCAACGTGACCCGATTGTTCCCCTAGCCGCATTATTGTATTGCAGTTCGCGCATCTGTACTACCTTTGCACTCCACCGATGCACTCTCTCTCTCCGTTTGTCTGGTGCCATGCCTAATTTTGCTGCATTCCTACCATAGCGTATACGTTTTCTTTCACTTTTTAGCCCACTGAATACCTTTCACTCGGACCATTACACGCCATAGGTAGAGCGCATGGGTGCCTCGGGCCGTTTGATTTTTCAAGTACTGGTCAGCCTTCGTTCACCGGTGCTGAGTCTGAAGCATAATCCTGGCATATCATGGAGGAGCTTGGCCCTCTCAGTGTTAAACTCTGTTAGTCCGAGTGACGGTATATCCCTTAATAGGCCGATGAATTGCTTTATCTCGCATAGCTTCTAGCGGTATCCACAAATCTAGAACTCATAAGTGCGGCCATCTGAGTACTAGAGATATCGGAAAAGTTGTATGCATTTACGGCTGGGTTCATCGTATTCGTTTGTCCAAGTTTTTGATTTTACGGGATTCATTCGGTTATGTACAAGTTCGACTGGACGATGCCGTCAAGCGGCCTGTTTTTGATTCGCCGTTCAAGACTCTTTCACGGGAATCGGTGGTCAACGTTACCGGAACAGTCGCTGCGCGCCCGCCAAAAGATGTGAACAAAGTAATTCCTCTCGGCTTTCTTTTATGATTTCTTTTTTGAGGAACTACCGACTGGCGAAATTGAAGTATTGGCAAATGAGGTGAATGTTATCAACCCCTTGCAGTCCCCACTGCCATTTTTTCCTGCGGACCACATTCAGGTTGCAGTGTTATCTGTATAATCGTTTTAAAGTCAAACGAACAGCTTCGGCTTGCTTACAGATATTTGGATTTGCGCTCCAGTTTCCTTCAGCGCAATTTGAAGTTTCGTTCCGATTTCGTCCTTAAACTACGGAACTATCTGTGCGACACTCAAGGTTAGTGGCATCACTTAATCCATTGATTCTAGGTTTCATTGAAGTAGAAACTCCTTGTTTGTTTCGCCGGACTCCCGGGGTAGATTCATCCTCATAATATGTATTAAATGAAGGGTGCCCGCGAATTTATCACTCCCACATCCTTTTCTGGACTTTTCTACAGCCTACCCCAAAGTCCACAGCAGTTTAAGCAATTGTTAATGGTAGGTGCTGTCGATCGATATATGCAAGTCGCTCGTTGTTTCCGCAACGAACCATCACGCTCCGATCGCCAGCCGGAATTTACTCAGGTATGCCTGATTATACGCCCTGATAGTTTTGTCCTGTAGCTTGATCTAGAAATGGCCTTTGCAAATTCCGACGACGTCATGAACATTATTGAAGAAATGTTGGTTGCAGTGTGGCCTCTAATCAATGTTATGCGATCTGATTCCACTGTGCCTGACTTGCCATTGCCACGTATGAGTTACCAATTTGCGATGGCTCACTATGGGTCCGATAAGCCAGATATTCGCTTTGATCTCCGCTTCTGTGAGCCCACTCGTTGTGGGTATGTTGGATTCAAGGTTCACGGCACGGACGTAAGCTTCCACCTGTCGTAGCATGTATGGTACCAACCTGACTGATGGGCGGCAGCGAGGTTAATTTTTGCGCTTTCTACTCACCGTTATTTCGCCTCATTTAGTCCTTCATCAGCCTAAAATTTACCGTGTTTATGGCTCAGCTTTCGGCCAATTTAAGTATAGTGATTAGATTACTTGACTTTCAAACTCTGTGCCACAGTTTCAGGTTCTCGCTTCTATTTAGTTTTGATAGCCCTGACAGTGTTAGATGCCCCTGTACAATCCTTTACGCCTACATGGCATCATTCACTGCCGATACCATTTGTATACGGGACACATTCAGGGTGAACTCCAGCTAGAGGCACGAAGCACTCCCTCCGGAACTTATTATGCTGAATCAACAAACTGCACATTTTGTCAGTATGATGCAGTATGTAACTTTGTCTACGGTTTGGTAGATTATATTTGAAAGTCTGAGCTCTTGCTTTCACGTTTTTTTTCGTGATGGTTAGTTACCATGGTCGCGAAATTTTGCTACCTTGATTGACCGTAAATAGAAGTGAATAACTGCAATATCTCCTCTGACAGCACAATCTCTTCGCATCTTTTTGCGAATGTGCAAGTTTCCCGGTGTTAGTTACTTGACTGTGAATCGATTGTTGTGTAACTCTCTTATTATTGAGTTTCCATCCTTTTATTGCACCACTTGTGACAACAGTTTATGTCAAACGAATTACTGGCCTCAATACTCTTTCGTCACCTCACTGCGGAGCGAGAATCACGGATTAGGGAAGAGTAGGCAATCTTTCACCCAGGACGGGGCTGTATAGACCACATATTCACTCTACTGCAGGTGCTAGAAAAGCGCCACGCATACCGCAGGCCGACGATAGCTGTGTTCCTCGATTTCAAGGGTGCCTTCGACTCAGTCGATCGACTTATTCTGTTCGAAATACTTGTACGGATAGGAGTTCCCATGAAATATGTGAGTATTTTACGTGCCCGGTACTCGAATACCACAGGTCGCATCAGGGTCTACGACGATTTGAACAACGAAATGAGAAGACTAATATTGGCAGATGCTAGCATTTCGTATTATCTCGTCAGTACCAATACAATAACAGGGAAATCCTTTTATATGTCTTACAGGGCACAGTCAAACCAATCAAATTTATTGTTGTGGTCATTGTTGTCAGATTAGGTCCACGGCAACCGCAGGTTGACAACTAATTGCTTTTGGATACACAAAGCTGGTCTAATTCGGCTTATCGCGACGGCCTCGGCAAATCGTAAAAGGCGTGCATTAGTATGACGTAACAAGATCCGGAAAGCTGATAAGGGATTGACCTGGTGACGAGTCGCAAAGATGTGCCTGCCTATGGAGGACGCTGGTGGCTTACGCGAACATGTATCATCGGAGGTGGATTGGGTAACTTCACGCTGAATCCAGTTTGGTAGGTGTTCCTTCACTCGGGAATCTAAAACCCATTCGGTCCTGCCGATGTAACTGATACCGCAGTCACACACGAATTGGTAGACACAATGGGATTTGGCGCCGACGGGTTCATCTTCCTTTACTGAAGGTAACGTCAACCTTCGGGTTCTGTTTATAATTACCGCCTCCGCAGCACAGTATGTACGCTGAATGGCCGAGACAATCCGTTTGGTTATCTTTTTCGTTGCAGTGTCACCTTTGAATGGGAGCTCAATGTACACCTTTCCCCCCCTGTCCCCCCCTAAGAAGAAGGTGGCACTGCAACGAAAAAGATAACCAAACGGATTGTCTCGGCCATTCAGCGTACATACTGTGCTGCGGAGGCGGTAATTATAAACAGAACCCGAAAGTTGCCGTTACCTTCAGTAAAGGATGATGAACCCGTCGGCGCCAAATCCCATTGTGTCTACCAATTCGTGTGTGACTGCGGTATCAGTTACATCGGCAGGACCGAATGGGTTTTAGATTCCCGAGTGAAGGAACACCTACCAAACTGGATTCAGCGTGAAGTTACCCGATCCACCTCCGATGATACATGTTCGCGTAAGCCACCAGCGTCCTCCATAGGCAGGCACATCTTTGCGACTCGTCACCAGGTCAATCCCTTATCAGCTTTCCGGATCTTGTCACGTCATACTAATGCACGCCTTTTACGATTTGCCGAGGCCGTCGCGATAAGCCGAATTAGACTAGCTTTGTGTGTCCAAAAGCAATTAGTTGTCAACCTGCGGTTGCCGTGGACCTAATCTGACAACAATGACCACAACAATAAATTTGATTGGTTTGACTGTGCCCTGTGAGACATATAAAAGGATTTCCCTGTTATTGTATTGGTACTGACGAGATAATACGAAATGCTAGCATCTGCCAATATTCGTCTTCTCATTTCGTTGTTCAAACTACTGAAGGGGACTAACTGTTTTAAATTTCTCAATCTACGACGATTTGTCGGATGCCCTTCCGACAAAAAATGGCGTTCATCAGAGTTGTCCAGTTTCCCCAATTTTCTTCAACTTTCTCATGGACTGCATTATGGAGTGTTCCCTTGTGGAGCCTCACAATCCAGGCGTTGTGTTGGTCTGGTGAAAATTTAGTTGATTTTGACTATGCGCTATTTTTTAACGATCTTGATTCGGCGCAATTAACTCTGAATAACCTCACTGGAGTGGTCTCATCTGGCATGCACTTCGCACCTACAGTGTTATTACAGGGCCACCAGCCATTTGATGACTCCTTGACTCTTGATAACCAGTAACTCGAGGTAGTTGATCACCTCACTTGCCTTGGCAACTGCATCAGCAACGACGGGCGCATATCAGTTAAAGTCAGTTCACGCATTTCAAAAGCTGGAAATGCCTTTTTGGATCTGCGACATCTCTGGCGCCAGAAGGAAGTTTCCCGTGTACACAAGGCCACAGTGAAAATCGTCCTACTCTCTGGTATTGAGACTTGGCCCCTCCGATATGAGGACCTGCGCGCCCTCAAGTCTTCGATCATCGTTGTCTGCGATGCCTTAATGGTGTCGGGTGTCGCCACCTTGTCCGCTGTGATGATGTGCGTAAGCGAGTACTGGGCAGTGATGACCTGATTAGTGCCTTAAGACAAAAGATAGCACTGAATAAGTTGAGTTCGCTTGGGCACGTACTACGTATATCTAGTTACCGTTTACTGTGGTGAGCGTTGTTTAGTTTGCCAGACGTAAGGTGACGCGAGACACGGGTGTGCAAAAATTAACTTGGCAACGGGAATTGAAATCTCTGACGACAAAACGATGTCGTCGCTTCGTCTCGCCTTCCAGGCTGGACTCCATCTGATCCGCCTTGTATTTGGCTCGGGATTTTATAAGACATGGTCCGCAGCCAACATCAGTGGCGTGTCTGCTGCCGTCTCCTAGTCGGATTTTCTGTTTTAAGTATGTTTAGTGCTGAGTTATCTGCGGCGTAATGGCTGATTATGATGCGGGGCAGTGAAAACCGCAAGGAAGCTGTCTCGCCGGTGCCGTTTTTCTCTTTACACGATAGACTGTTGTTTGTGATAGCATGTTGTTGACAATGTTGTGGGCGCCATGACTCTAGTGTTTTTGGGGTCATTAAGGTTTTCAGGTAAGTCCTACTTCTCTTCCTCTTATGGTTCTTTGTTCCCTAGGTCACCGTAATTGTACGGCAACGGAGCCTCAGTTTACATAACTGATGTACTGCTGTCGATTATATTGATGGCAACCCACTGAGATAGCGAATTTCGTTGAAACACCGAATGCCCTCCACTTCCGACAATGTCCAGCTGATGGGATTGATCGAAATATTCTTCAAGGTAAACCTTCGATCCAAAAGAGCTTTCCAGTCACAATCCAAGCACACGGCTTGTACTCCAGAGCCAAACTGATCCGCATATTAGGGCAAGTATTGATTTAGACCCTCCCAGAAAATTGGACGGATCGACCCATAGTGGTGATGTGTAGGAAGGGCAATCACACTGTCTTTGCTAACCACATAGACGTAGATATAACGTCGGCATTGACCTTACCAATTTCCATTATTGTCTGTCATGTTGCTGTGGAACATAGCTTTCAGGTTAGGAAAGCAAAGTGGTTTCCATCCGAGACGTAACCGTATGAGTCTTATCTTCATTATGACAAATGCTAGAACATTATTACACATGTCGCTGGCCCACTAAATGGCTTTGCACTCCGCCGATCTTCGCGTTACGTTAGAGATACTTGCTCGAGTTTTTTTTACAAATGCATATCCTACCTTCGAACGTCACAGATCCCACAAGGCTTAACAGCGCATTAATGAAAGGTTTTTTGGACAAGTGGCTTTCGTTACAGTTGTCTTGTTCCCTCATTTTCTTTCGGCTTTATATTGTACTCCGCTATGGAGTGCTCCCTTACTAAACCTCACGATGATGGTATTAGAGAGATGACTGCTAAAGTTACCAGTTGTTCTAAATTATGTAATCGACATAATTCTGGCACCTTTCTTTAACGACATTTCTAAAATGTGATTGAACACATCAAATTATTTTAATATTTATTATTTTTAGTTGCAACTGCAGAAAGTACTCCAGTCCTCAAAATGCAGTGTGGATTCACTGCATTGGTGAGGGAAGTCCTAACGCGGACGGCCAACCGCTGTCCTCTGCACAAGCAGTAGCTTATCTGGTAGTAGAGTATGGGTCGGACTATATCTCAGTTAGATTTCAATCCGTGTTGGCCGACTATCGTCCCCTATGGCTCAGTGGCATTAGCTGCCAGTCAGTTGTGCAAACCGCTGGGGTTATGGATTCTATCCCAAGCTGGGCACCGAGTGAATGCGTATCACTGACGAGCCACAATAGCGCAAAACGATCGTCTGGTGCATTTCCCGATTAGTAGCTCACCTATACGACTTGTAATCTAATTGCGATGAACCAAATAAAACCATTTTAGTCAATCCGGTTTGTTTTTACTATTCCTGTCTTACCAAAATGACAAAGAGAAAAATCTGAGAAGTAGTACCATTTAACTATTTGTTCATTGAAAATT